TCCGACCAGTGGTTTTGGACTAGCCACACACACTGACTTATCAATTGGTCACACTAGTTATCTGCTGGTTTAGTATTAAATATAGGCCTCTCTTTACTGGAGAAATAAATCCTGTCCATCCTACAAAAAATAAGATTGTGTTTCCCGTCTGTTGCCTGAAGCTTCTCATACACCTTGAAAATATGTTCTGTTTGTCTTCTGCAGGCAGTGGTTCCTCAGAGAAGAACAGAAAAGAGGACAAATATATTTTTGAGTCAAAGAGCGACCGAGGAGGAAGGGAACACCCAGCCCCAGAAACAGGTAAGGCATACCTTGTGTGTATTGCAGAGTTTAAAGATTTGTAGAACCATGCACCTTACAGGTGAGGATGTTAGATGAAGATGCGAGAGCTGTGACCTCTGATCAGAAGAGCTGGGTTGCCACGCCTGGTCATGCCTGTCTTTGGGCTTAGAGCTATCCCAGTGTCTCTGTGGGCCTCCGCTCCCTGTCAGAGGACATTTTGATTGGACTAGACAGTCACATAGACTCCTGGTGTCACTCTATGGAAATTACCACATTGGAATTAAGAACACATGTTCAAGAATCAGAAGCCATGTTTTCATATCCTGGCTCTGCCACTGAACTCTGGAACCAGGAAGATGATCATATCTCTCTGGACCTTAATATCTTCATCAGTAACCTGAAAATAATAACTATCAGAATTGTCAGGGGAGCAAGTGGGATAATTAATAGTAAGCTTTCAGCATGCAGCTTGGCTTGTACAATGAACCATGCAAACGGTGGTTATTAGGGTTGAGTTATTTATGGCACAGCAAGGATAAAAGTCCTAAAGCATCCAGTTCCCTTCCCAAGTGCTCTTGGGACATACACAGATGATAGGGATGAGGAGAAACGTAGGAGGTAGTGTGATTACTCGGTAAGTGTAAGAATTATCCCACAATTCAAAAAGTTTGGTTATTTTTAACTAGAAAGAAAACATGTTGACATAATCATATAGAAAGGCAGATGTTTGTCTTAAATCCTACAAACTAGTAAAAGATATAGGAGAACAAAATATTCCTACATTATAGATCTAAACGTTGAGGAAACTTGCACTTTTCCCTGGAGTTTTCTTTATTTGGATGATGTCAAATATGCTATTAAATAGTAGATGACTAATCCAGATGTCAGGTACCTAGATGCTACCCAATCTTACCCTGACCCAAGATAGCTGAATAAAAAGGACGCTGCCCCCACTGACATTCAGAGGCGGCCAGGCCTACCCGCTATGGCCAGTGGATCCAGAGAGCTCCAGCCCCACCGGCTGGTGCCCACTCTCACTGCCAATTTTGCATGTGCCTTCTCGTCCTACGGACAGAATGTCCACTCATCCCCTTAGCTGGTTTCTGGGAAAACTATCATGATGAGGGATTGGAAATTTAAAACATCAAATTACCCAAGCTAGGGCCCTCCCTGGTGGCGCAGCGGGTTAAAGCACTGCACTAAGAAACTAAAGCCACTTCAGCATGAGTTCGATCCCCGCCTGCCCCAGAAGTGACACACATGGCGGCAGACCTCTCCCTACCCACCCGCTGCTCCCCTTAGCAGTGTACTTCATTGATCTGCCTGTTCTGCTCCCCACGCTGTCTCTGGTGAAGCCTCTCTCCCTCCTCATCTCTGTCCTGTACTCCAGTTCTGTATGAATAAATAAATAAATCTTAAAAAAAAAAATTACCCAAGCTAAAAAACATTGAAGAGACAATGTCAACTAATTATTGAGAAGTTAAGAATAATTTCAGGATTCCAGCAAGTACTTTATGGGAGATTTAATTTTCCTCATATTAGTGCACTAAATAGCAATCAGGTTTGATGGTTCAGCAACGAACATCAGTCTGACTTGGCAACAGCATGTGTCCGTTTTATGGGTCCATACAGCCCCAGAGTGCGCCTGGGATCTGCAGCCACTTCTTCCCCACAGCTTCAGCCCATCCTAAACTAGTCACGTGTCTAGATGGGCTGCCTCTAGCACAAGCACAAGCAGAGCTCGGTGCTGGGTTCCAGTTTCTAAGAAATGGCTTTGGGTTCCTGGAATTTCCCCCCCCCCCAGGTCTGCTTTTTTTTTTTTTTGTCTCAACCCTTGCAATAGATCCCTCTAATGTAGCTTGTACAGGAAGACGCAGGGTGGCTGACACCTTTAGGGTGCTCAGCCCTCTCGTCACTTCCTTTCTGTGGGATTGTGGGGGTGGGAGGAACTAGGGTGCACTTGTAGCTACGGAAGCCTGTTTGGGTGGAGAAATACAGCATTGTTCTGGACCCTCTGGCGGGGCTGGGGTGTGTACACGAGCCAGCTCCAGGGTCAGATTCTTGACCGTTGCTTTATCACAGATCTTTACCCCTCACCAGTCTCTTTGGAAGTACTAGTCTTACCCAAAACTTTGTTTGGTAGCCAACGATTACTAACACAAATTCCAGTTCTTCCAGAATGGAAGATAAATTCTTGAGTCTTCTTCAGGAGTTTTCCCTGAGGATGTACTTACCATAAAGAGGAGGCCAGTTATACCTGGGCCCGTAAGCCCAGAAGGTCAAAGCTCTCGGCGTGAGCTCCCTCAGCTGTCTGCCTCTGAACCTACACTCACCTGCTTCACTTTAGCACTAAAGCAACAGGTGTCTCACCCCTGACCTTGCCGCAGCCTCTTGTCTCCTGAGGTCTGTTTTTATATCTTCTATTAGCTCCTAATGTTTTGTTGGATGTCTTCATTTTTTGCAGTCTGAATCTTCCCACTGTATTATTAAATACACTTCCCTAGGGGCCTCCCTGATGGCCTGAGTTAAGGTATCACCACTACCATCTGAGTTTGATCCCCACCCAGGGAGCTGACCCACACGGCGCAGCAGACCGCTCCTGTCTCGCCTGCTGCTCCCCTCAGCAGTGTGTTTCAGTAGATCCGCCTGTTCTGCTCCCCACTCTGTCTCTGGGGAGTCCTCTCATCCCCCAAACCTCTAGCCTACTCCTCAGTTCTTCTATGCAAAAAAAAAAAAAAAAAAACCAACCCTATCCATAGGCAGCCCCCACCTCCCCCGAGCCCTTCTCTCTAAGAGTTGAGAACATTGTAAGTGCTCCTGCTCACTAGTCTGAACAGGCAAGATAGGTAGTTTCAAAAGTCCCTTTTCAACTAAGGAAAACCCTTCAGTCCTCTGCCTGTCTGTCTCCTGAAAACTGCACCCCCATCACTTTTTCTCCATCAAGTCTACCCACTCAGACTTGAAGTCATTAAAAACAGCCTCGTTTACCTTTCGGACCACACTGTGCCAAGTGTCTCTAGAGCCGGACCCTGGCTGCACGACTGACCCATAACTGGAGAGAAGTCACTTCATTTGTGCAATGGGGAGAATAATAGTGTCAGCTCGTGCGGGCTGAATTAAATGGTGGAAGCCACGAAGTGTTTAGGACAGGGCTGGCGCACTTCAGTGCTGGTTTATGAAGTTGCCAGTGCTTAGCTCTTAATTAATGCAGAATGAGTGACTGAAAGACAAGGGCCTAGAGTGAACTTAGGCAATGCAAAGTTCTGCAGTAGTCCCATAAGTTGGCAAGACCCCTACAGCTAATAATAGCTCATGCATATCATCTCAAGCCTGGCTTGACCAGACAGTAGATCTGAAGAAGGGAGTTTGCTGAGCTTGACAGCCGAGACTGGTCTGCAGCATCCCCAGTCACTCTGGAACATCCTCGGTCACTCCAGTCCTATCTGCCTCGAAGTGGGGTTTCTAGTGTTGGTGTCTGGGCACAGGAAAGCAATAGGAAGGATGAAAGAGAACTTTTTCCTCAGTTACCCTTAGCCAGAATTGTATCTGCATGTCTGGATGTTGGTTTTTAATAGTGGTTCTGTTGGTGAAGAGGAAGAGTAGGTTCCCTAGATTTAGGACAGGAAATAAATGTCTGAAACTCTAACCAGAACAAGAAGTCAGGAGCTAGTCCATGTTCATGTCGAGAGAAAACGCGTGAGCAAATGCAGACGCGTCATCTTGACCGCCGCGGTCTCCCAGCTTCAGGGTCTTTAGAGTTGATCGCGGGTGGGCGTCAGTGGTGTGAGATGGCAGCCTGACCTCACAGCAACGTTGGTACAAGCATTACACACCTTTTGTAGGAACCTGGTGTAGAATTTGGTTTTAAAGCAATCTGGGTTTGAGACCTTGTAGCGTAAATGAAGTTCATCAGGCTTTTTACGCCATTGGTTTCTGCGGCCATCAGCTGCGGCCTTGACCTTGTTAATGTAGAGGGCGCGGGGCGCGTGGGCTTGATGATGGACAGCTGAGTGTGGGGGCGCGTGTGCCTGATGATGGACAGCTGAGTGTGGGCGAGTGCACGTGTCTGAGCGTGCACACCTGAGCCTGGAGTCCAGGGATGTACAGATGGCTTCAGAGGCACGGCTACAAGAGGACCAATGACCACAGAAGAGGCAAAGCCATGAGACAACGCCAGAGGGAGCTCAGAGAAAGCGTGAAGATTCGCTGGGGTTGGGGCTCCATTGCCTCCTGCCCTCCCCCACCCCCCCAGTTTCCTGCCTGCCCTGGGGTTGCCCCATTACACCGGTATGTGTTAAGAACCCACCGTGAGCCTGCTGGGCAAAGCACACCTAGACGTGCAGTCTCACAAATGCTGCGCTCTTGAGGCCAAAAAGATAATCTGTGGGCACCTTGCTTGAGCTGCAAACTAGAGCTGCAAACTAGCGGTGTCAGGTTTATCCCTCCTGGAGGTGCTCAGAGGAGCAGTGCAGGCGCGGCGCTCCCGGGGACTGCAGCGGCATGGTGGCGTCACTGACCTTCGTTCTCCCTCACACAGGCGCGGTGCTGCCGCTGGCGCTGGGGCTGGCCATCACGGTCCTGCTGCTGCTCATGGTTGCCTGCCGACTACGACTGGTGAAACAGAAACTTAAAAAAGCTCGTCCCATCACATCTGAGGAGTCCGACTACCTCATAAACGGGATGTATCTCTAACTGTCACGCAGCCGGGACAAAGACATGCTTCGCTTATAATTTATACATATGTTGGGTTCTGGATAGTTACAACGAATTTTGTTTTTTTTTACTGGGCGAAGACGACTACTGAAAACCCAGAAGATTCTGCAAATCCCAAATCCTTGTATTTATTTACTGTAGAGCTATTTTCCTTGGGAAATTGTGAAATATTTTGAAATTTAGAAGCATCCGTGAATAAAGGCTTTTACAAACCGAATTGATTTATGTAAACTATCCTGAAACAGAAATTTATCCATAGCCAAGGCAGAAAATTCAGTTATCTCAAGAGGTGATCTTGGAAGGGCTGTTAGAGACCAACAATTGGCCTGAGAAACCCTGGCCACTTAATGCACAGCTTTCCCTCGGTGTCTGGCTCACTTTCTTTAAGCTTCCTATGCTCACTTTTCTTTTCTCCCCTTCAAAACTGGTTTCTGAAAATGGACCTCCAGTGAATATATGCCTTCAGTTAGGCGTTACCTCTGTCAGGACTCAGGGAAAGTGAATGTGGGTTTTTCCTGACACCTCTAACATGTCATGTAGGCAACTACTTCATGAAGCAGAACTTTGGAAGAAAACTCTCAGACGGGAGACTGCAAACAGCCTCAGCGTGGACATGAAATGAGATAGGAAGACCAGGTGAAGACAGATGCTGGGGGTAAAACATTTTAACAGAAACCTAGCTGAGGACAAAATGAGCAAGACAGAGCAGTACTTCCTTTTATCCACTCAGCACTGCTTGGTGATTCAGAATGTGGCAAGCCATTCAGATCATTGCAGTTTTTTGTTTTTTTTTTTTACCAAAGTGGCAAATAAACCCCCTAAAGTACTTGAAAGCACTCGAGAACACTGTATTTTCAGATTGAACCTGAGGTAGCTGGTCCTTACAAAAGGGCTTAGTGTGGGTCAGAGATATAACAGGACATATTCACAGCTGGAAAGTTCTAGAAAAATAAGGACATAGATTTTTACTTAAGAAACTCAAGCATTTTGCTGAATGTTTAGGTTTGAACAAAGATTGACATTTCTCATGGGCAGTTCAGAGACAACTATATGGATGAACTTCAGATGTTTACATTTGTATGTGATCCTCTGCAGTTTGCTTTTATATATAAGAATGTCACTCATAGCCATACCCAGTAAAATAAATACTAATGAGGCATGTGTCTTTCAGCACATCTTTGCTACATAAACACAGTTTAGAATTGCGATGGTGTCAAAGTAGTCAAGATCTAGCATATCTGTGTATAAGATTGCTTAGTAAATTGCATTTTTTCTTAAGGCGTTTTAAAAACAACTTTTTAACATACTTGCAATGAGTTGCTAATAGTTACTGGTTGCTTAAATTTACTGTATGACCTAAAATTAATCAAATCAACCCTAACTTACAAAGCAGGGAAGGGAACTAGAGGAGAATCAAGGCCTACACAATATATTGTATAGGCTAAAAGGTTTTTTTGTCACCTGACCTGTGACCTCAGTAGTTAAGCATCTACAATTTAAAATGATTTATAAGCAAAAGCTGTTCACAGTTTACCCCTCAATCATGTTTCATACCTCCATTCCTCTCAAAGGCATCTTCTAAGGCATCTTCTGAAAAATGGTAAAACTTTTTCCTCTAGTCTCTTGTACAAGTACGGACAGCTACTTCACAAGCATTTTAATGTTTCAGGTCCCCCAAGTATTTAATATATTCTCTCCTACAGAAAAATCTTAAAATTTGTCTTTTCTCCCACTGACTTTTCAAATACCTGATTTGGCTTCCACAAATCCTTTTTGCACTTACCCACACCTCCTTTCGTTCATGTTGCTCCGTACAACCCCAGCACAGAGAGGCCCATTTCTATTTGTTCCCCAGTTTTGATGTTCACGGCACTTTACTGAACGTCATCTCATTAACTCCAGGGCGGCCTGCCCCAGGACACTGGCACCATCCACAGCTCCACATATTGATGTAACAAAAGAATCTGAAACTGAGAGTCTATAATTTGGGGTCATTGTTAAACTGTTGTACCAAAACAGTTTCATGTTCTGGTTTGCTTTCTTTTTGGAATTTACCTCTTTGTTTCACTGCAGTTACTCCAATTGTTGGTTTTCTTTTTTGAACTCCAGGTTGTCTACAACTATTAGTGTTAAAATGGAAGAATTTCTAGTTTTTTTTTTTTTAATTTCTAGTTTCTATTCACAAATGCTCTCACTTTCCTGTTTTTTTTTTTCCTCCTAGTTTCTATTCACAAATGTCACTTTCCTGTTTTTTTTCTTTTTTTAAGCAGCTGTGTGACTTTCTCATGTTAATGGCCTGCTTTTGCTCTACTCAATTCTAGAGATACAGGCATCTATCACTTAGGACTAGACTAGTGGCAAAATCTTAGATATCTTGGTTAAATCTGAAACCACCAGGGTTGATGACATGTCAGACACATCAAAGCTACATGTGTTTAGGAATGGAGTGAGTGGTCGGACGGGCCCTTCCACATTCGCTTTAACCTATTCTGTTGTTTATAACCTAATAGTACAGTGGAACCAAGATTCTGGGTCTTTTCCCCAGGATCCAAGTGAAGTGTTCGGCTGTGGAGATTCAAATATAAATATCTTCAGCTGCTGTAGGTCCCTGGATTGCTGCCCTCTCAAACTTAAAATTTCCTTAGACTTGCTATCACCTGACCTTTCTGTGATGAGCTTACGAGCTTGGGGAGAGGGTGGCACTCTGAGAATGAGCTCCTCTCATCTAGCAGCCCAAGCACTTCCTCTCATTTTAGGGAAGGGGAGGGGAAGGGCAGGAAGAAAAAGAAAAGGGAGGACAGTACTAGAAGGCCAACGACAGAGCAGGGGAGGGCGGGCAGAGCAGGGGAGGGCCGGCGCCTGGCCCAGTGCACTCAGCCAGGGTCAGAAGTCAGAGGGTGCTGTTTTCACTCCCACGAAGCATGCAAGTGCTCCTGAGTCCTGCCTCAGACAACACAAAGTCAAAAGAAGGAACCTAGATAGGAAACCATCACTACTGCCAGAGCAGTGATTATCAGAATTGTTTTCCCATTTATGACATTATAATACACAAACTTGCTGCGGGCCCATGAGCCACCCAGTTTCCTCAAGCAGGATTTTCTAACTTGCATTCTATTAGAGACACCTCTCTAAGTAGGAAGAAGACAAAACACTTTCCTGAGGAATGATGGAAGTCAAGAGAGATGAAACTCAAATCTGGTCAGAACTCATTTGTTTTACTGAGTACAGGTCTTTCTTTAAGAGCACAGCAAGTTGCAGGAAATATTCATACCCTGGAAGAATTTTAGCACCTACCTAAGCTACTGAGAAATGTTTCATGCTTGTTACTTCACTTACAAATTACTAGTATCCAGTTACCAGTCCTGAACTCTTTTAGTGCCATACCACACTGTTGAAAATTTGTTAACATCTCAAACAAGCTTTATTTCTTGGCTGGCAGAGGCTAATAACGTCAAAGAATTCATGAGTATTAAATTTTTACTAAAAATGTGAGTATCTTAAAATTATTGTTTTCTAAGATGTGTGTTAGGTTAGATTCATATAGTCAGTTTTTAAAGTATAATCAACTTTTTTAACAATGGAGTTTTTTTTATATGTAATAGTTTATTTCCAGTGCATTTCCCTCCCCCCACTATTTTTGATCCCATTCCCCACTACAATGCAGTTTTTTTTTTTTTTTTAAATTAGGGCAATGAGACTTTAAATATTCCCATGGACAACATACTCTCTTCTCCCAAAATTAAAAAAAAAAAAAATTACTGGTTGAGAAAGATTTGAAACCTTCATTAGAAACTGGAATTCTTAATTTTAATTCTTGAGGGCTAAATTTGGCCTTGAATTAAAAAAATAAAAACCTTCAACAGGATCTAGATTAGAACTTTTTAGGTGTATTTCCACTGTTGACTTTAAATTATGTAAAGGGGCAGCAGGTTAAAGCTCAGTACTTTGAAGCTATCCACAGCCACCAAAGCACAAAGTTGATCCCCGGCCAGGGAGCTGACCCACAGGGCACAGCAGACCGCTCCTGTCTTGTCCACTGCCTGTTCTGCTTCCCACTCTGCCTCTGGTGAATCTTCTCATACCCCACACCTCTGGCCTGTACCCATTCTTGTATACATCTTTGAAAAATATGTAAAGGAATCACTTCTACTAAGGAAAAATGAAATGAAAAAAATATTTTAGAAATTATGAATACTGGAGATGAAAGAGATTTTTAAACTACGACCCACATCTATATAAATCAGCTTTTAAAAAGTTCTCAGACCTAGTTAAAATTCATTATTTCTATTTTTACCCAATTATTGATACTATCAAAATACATTCCTATTTCTTCAACATTTAAAAATGTTGCATTTTTAAATGACAACTGTATAAATTCAAAGAGCAATGCTTGGCACAGCATTTGTCTACACCAATCCGTATTCATGAACTTCAACCAGACAAATCTTTTTCAGAGTAGGGGCCTTTTTCTCTCCCTAAAACCTAACACAGGGATTTACATATAAAAAAATGTTGCTACTGACTTTAAAGGGTACAGTCTAGTGGGTAATTTTAAGAATTAAGTTGTGAAGAATATTCAACCTCTGAAACTACCTCATATGACACTGGTCACGGGCCACAAAGGGTTCACGGCCCGGCCCAGAGGCATACAACAATCGCAGCCTGGAAGTAGCAATGGGCCTGAACCCTTTCAAAGCCATTTTTAAGGAAGAAACGTTTAAGGCTTGAGAGGCCTCTACTTGCCGGGATCACTCGCACTTGCACACACAAACACAGAAGGGAGTTTGCTGGGAGAATAGGAGCTGCTAGCTTTAAAGCATTATTTTCTTCAAGTTCTAGAATGCTTAGGAAAACTAGGCCTGCTACAAAATGTATAATAAAACCACAGCATTTCACTGAGATTTCAATGTACTACTGACTTGTTAGAAACTCATTTTACTGTCATTGCATTAATAAATCCATTTATGAGCAGGAGATTTGGTTAAATTTATCCTCAGCCTGTTCTTTCCTGCCATTGTCAATCCACGCACTCACTCACTCACTCACCATATTTTGTGTAGCTACAAGACAGTAAGCATGTGCTAAGCAGAGAAAAGTGATAAATGCAGTATAGTTCTTGGGAAATAGTCACTTTCTACAACTGTACAATTGAGTTAATGCTATTAACTCACATAAAACAGAGCATCAGAGAAACTTTTTCTCTGTGATCTTGATCAGCATGCTATATATGGTGGACATGCTGTTCTTTTATATTCAAACATCACCAATGCTTCTTTTTTTTATACGCAGAAAAATTAAAAATTTATTTGTTGTTTTAAAATTTATTTTACCACCAATGCCTCTTTTACTTTTAACTTTTATTTGGCAAAGCAGCACTGCATAAACTGTTCAATAACTAGGACACAGCTTACACAGCACATTAAATTCATGTACATTATCAGCAGCAAATTCAAAACAGAAAAAACAATACTCAGCTACTAGTCTTCTATAATTTTTAAAGAGAGAAAGGAAGAACTCTATCAGTTATGTCCAATCTGAACAGCTGAGTGTTTTAAGGGACATCTTAAGTTTTAATATTTACAAATGCTTGGGTAACAAAGCAGCTGATTGTATCTACAACATGCTATTCTATGACACCACATCAAAAGCTTTTACAAGGAAGCTCATCTCTATTTTCTTAGTAGCATCTAACAGACACCCAAAATCCTAGTCATAACTTGTGAATGGCGGTGTTATCTGACACACAAAAGCAATCTGACATATTAATATTGGAACAAGTGTTTAACAAAAGTTATTCAAAATCAGTTACTAACCTAAGGTTCCCATTTTGAAGAACCCCTTTTAATATTTTAAAGTAAGATATGGGCATGTTAAAGTAATAATATACAAATTTAGCCTTCGCATCATTTCTCTATCAGTTTGGTTTCTTGGCTCTTTGAAGATTTAGAAACCCTACAAAACCACACATTTTCATGCTGAAAATAATAGTGTAACAAAGTCCAAAACAAGCTGTGATGCTGTTGGTTTTCAAAAAGCTCTGAGGACTGAGATGAGCAATCCACTGTAATGTTATATACTGGTCAAGCTGATGTTGCTTTTACAGTTCGTCCCTGGGGGAGGAAAGAGAAGAATATGTAAGTAGGAATTACATACTGAAAACTTGGCTTTCTAATAGTTTAGCTACAATTATTAATCAATAAAAATACAGTGATCTCCAAGCAATATATCATTTAAAAAAAAAAAAAAGCAGACAATCCCAAGTCAAAGCGAAAATGGAAGTCAGCCATTTCAACATCTTTCATGCTACTCCAGAATGAAGTATAAAACCTGAAGGGTCTGAACTGAATTTTGAAGATAACTTTCTTTTAAGACCAAAAATTCAGAGACATTATAATTTATAGATCTAGGATCTTGCTAATACTGTTACTGTGAAATGAGTATATAGAGTTCAAATAATTTTTTTATAGCTACATTCACAAACTGGACAAATTTTTAGTCTTTTGCTTAGAGTATCTACTAACAATGAATGAGTCAATCTCAACCTGAACTCTGGGACAAAATGCATCGTCTGTAGGTATGATATACCTGTCAGCTGATGTCATAAGGCAGCTTTATCAGCTCCAAAAGAAACCATTTGCTAACCCAGGTGTAGCACTGTACCAGCAAGAGGAAAGAAGGAAAAATGCATTCTAAGTAACTTATATGGTATATAAATTCTACCTCAACACTAGAGTTAAAAGTGAAAAAATTAAAGTTACTTGAAAAGCCTAAAAACTTCAAATTTAAAGGCAATCTGGTAACAAAAACATTATAAACACTCAAGTATTTTTAGGGTAAAAAAGTATGTTTGCAACTAACTCTCAAGCAAAAAAAAATACATCTATAAAGAAGGAATGAAAAAGCAAATGTGGGAAAATGTTAATAACTGGCATTTTGGGATGAAGAAACTCAGAAATTTGTTGTACTATTCTTGCAACTTGTAATAAAAAAAGTTTTTTTTTCCAAAAGTCATTAAAATAAATTTGAAGGGAGGTAAATAGTTAAAATATCCTAGTAAAGTGGTAAATTAAGGGATATTGAACAATTTACTTTTTGAAAAACTGAATTTTCTGAATTGTCCAAGAAAATATTTAAAAAATGACTTTTTCCATAATTAGACTTTGTCATATAGTACTGGGTTATCTATTAAAATGATAAATGTTCAGTCCTAAATCCTTTTAATACATTCTTCTAAATAATAGAACTATAACGCATAAAACCACTTTTATATAAATTCATGCAAGCAGTAAATTATTTAATCTGCAAAGAATTCATTTGCAAAGTACACTTCTTAAACTGAATTCACTTGTGCTTTTTAAAATATGGAGATACTGCTATAGTTTTTGAAATATTTACATTTTATTTATCTACTGCAAAGCTTTAGGGATAATGTAGGTAAGTCTTAATGCCACAACAATAGCATATATCATTATATATAATATCCTCTCCATTAAAAATTTTTTAAAAAAGGAAAAGGATAAAAACTCTCAATAAACTGGGTATAGAGGGAACGTACCTCAACATAATAAAGGCCATATATGACAAGCCCCAGCTAACATCATACTCAACGGTGAAAAGCTGAAAGCTTTTCCTGTAAGATCAGGAACAAGACAAGGATGCCCAATCTCGCCACTTTTATTCAACATAGTACTCGAAGTCCTAGCCAGAGCAATTAGGCAAGAAAAAAAAAAAAAAACAAACAAAAGGCATCAAAATCGGAAAGGAAGAAGTAAAACTATTGCTTTTTGTAGATGACATTAAATATAGAAAAATCTTGACTCCACCAAAAAAAACAAAAACAAAAAACTGTTAGAATAAACAAATTCAGTGAAGTTGCAGATAACAAAAATGTGTGTTTGTACACAGTGATAACAAACTTCTAGAAAGTGAAATTAGAAAATAATTCTATTTACAAGTGCATCAAATAGGATAAGATACCTTCGAATAAATTTAATCAGGGAGGTAAAAAGATATGTATACTAAAAACAGACACGGGTGACAGAAATTGAAGACACAAATAACTGCAAAGATATTCCCTCCTAGTGATGACAAGATTAATAGTGTTAAAATATTCATTGTCCCCAAAACAATCTACTGGTTTAGTGTAATCTCTATCAAAAATTCCAAGGATATTTTTCACAGAAACAAAACAAACATCCTAAGCTGTATAGAAAACCATAAGAGATCTGAATAGCCAAAGCAATCTTTAGAAAGAATAACAAAGCTAAAGGCATCATATGCCCTGATATCAAACTGTATTATGAAGTGATAGTAATCAAAACAGTATAGCAGAGGCATAAAAACAGACAAATAGATATTTGAAAGAGAACAGAAAGCCCAGAGATGAACCCACACAGATATGGTCAATTATTTATGAACCCAAGAATGTATAACTGGGGAATAGTCTCTTTAATAAACAGTGCTCAGAAAAGTTGACAGTCCATGCAAAAGAATGAAACTGGAATCCTTATACCATATACAAAAAATCAACTCAAAATAGATTAAAGGCTTAAAACCATAAAACTAAATTTGTGATAATTATTTCACAATGTATACATATACCAAATTATTATGTTGTATACCTAAAACTAATGCAATGTTAAATGTCAATAAAACTGGAATAAAATCATATTATAAAAAATGCTCAATGATGTGGGACAATGTTGATGACATTTTACTAAATGATCTCAGGATTACAGAAGAGGTGTATAGGGATTTATGTAAAAGAATTTTTAAAAAATCACGCAAAATGTTAATAGTGGTTACTATGGGTTCTGCGATCATATGTGATTTTTATTTTATTCTTCTCTTATCTATAGGTAGGTAGATATTCATTAAGTTAATAAGTATAAGTAGTTATTTTAGTATCAAATCTACAATGATATATAACTTACTGGGGTAATAATGTTAAACAACTACAATTATTATATATTTTGTTATCAAGAACAAATAAAAATACTATAAGAAAACAACAATCAGTTGGATGGCTCACCTGAATACCCTAGAGTTACTGTCAATCCTAGAATTCATAACATGTTTTATCAATATGTGTGCACAGTATTTTAAGACACTGATAATGTGCCTGTGACAAATGAGAACCCTAAAATATTTCTCAGTTTCACAATTCAGATGAACTTATTTCATTGACTGTTAAGTTGTTAAAAACAAAAATAAAATTTAACACAGTATTAATTTATAGATAGATATAAATATAAAATACTTGTGTAAAACAAAATGTAAATGTTTAAGTATTGCATTTATGAAGTAATTAATACAACTAATCACACATTCATCGATAAGAACAAAAACAAGAGATTCTAGGTCATGGCCTAGCCTTGTTCTTTTATGGGTATTTTTCCAGGTATAAGGAGACATAAATTTGCATTTAGGTTTTAGACTGTATTTTCCACTAGAACTTGGCATTACTGCTATTCTCTCTTTTTTCTTTTTTGCTCTCTATCATATCTTCTAGGAAAAATCAAATGGCACCCTCAGAGTGCATTCAAAAGAAGACAAATATTAGATTGTGTGGCTCATAGGTAGAATATAGAGAAATGAGACGAAGGGTCAGATAAAATCAAATTCAAAGTTGACCCTTGAAAGTGGACCACAGACTGAGGAATCATGGACTGTGGAGGTGGACTTGGGTGCTTTGTTGGTGGGAGTGCTATGGTAGTAACTTTTGAAAGGGGGAACTCTCATACTCCCAAAATACAAACGATGTAAACCAACAACCTTGATTTAAAAAGCCAGCGGGGCAGGAGGGAGGTGGTGCCACTAGCTGTAGATTCCCCAGTAAAAGAAGGATGAAGCTAGTGAGAAACAAGAGACTGCTCATAGATAAGCATCTATGAGTTGTTAATCCTGAAGAAAACCTGAAAGAACAGACTTGTGCTACTGGCAAGAAACTGACTAAGGAGCTTTTTAGATAATTCCTAAGTGTGGGATGGATGGGTGCTCCAGGAGCTGGAGGAGGCTGTTTCTAGCCGCATTTTATCCTACTGCCATTGCCTTAGTGCAGGCCACTGTCACCCACCCTGTACTTGCCACCACCCCTCCTGCTTCTGAATCTAGTTTCACTCCACTCCAATCTACTCTACTGCTCAGCAAGTGCTGTCTTTCTCTAATGCCCATCAAAGCAGAATACAAACACACTACAGTCTAACTGCCTGTCTTGTCTTTGGATTAATCTGGTCTCTTACATGAGTGTAAGCTCCACAGAATAATCAGCTATGTCTTCCTGGCACCTACAACAGTGTCTGGCATCACGGACATACTCCCTTGAATTAATGAAGGGATTAAGAAGATCATCAGGGTCTTCCCTGGTGGCACAGTGGATTAGAGCACAGGTCTAGGAAGCTATCTGCAGCCACTGCAGCACAAGTTTCATCCCAGCCAGGGAGCTGACCCACGTGGCACAGCAGACCTCCCCTGTCTCACCCGCTGCACCCCTCAGCAGTGTACTTCATCGATTTGCCTGTTCTGCTCCCCACTCTGTCTCTGATGAGTCCTCCCACTGCCCTGCACTTCTGGCCTGTATCCCAGTTCTGTAATATATAAATAAATTCTTTTTTTAAATGATGATCATCACACTGGGAAATACTTAACAAATTTAGCAAACAGAACTGCCCAAGGAAAAGTACTATATGTTGCTTTTGCAAAAGCAACTTAATTTTTTTTTCTTCTGTCCAGAATAGTTTAAGTAGATTAAGCCTGCAGGGAAGAGAAATCGGGCACACAAACTTATTCCAGACTTAAGTTTTAAAAGAAGCAGCGTTATCTGCTACAGAAGAGGAAAGGATCAAGAGATGGTGGTAAGAGCAGATCTCAGACTGTCACAGGACCCCTCCTCTCTGACTCCAGCTAAGCCTGGAGTCCCTAGAAGCCCTGATAGAAAGAAGGGACTAGGAGGAGAAAAAAACTGATTCACAGATGTGATAGGAGCTGCTTCCCTCTGTCACTCGCTCAGTGGCTGCTACTCTCCTCCTCCACTGCTTCCCCGGCTCTGCACAATGGGTTCTAGTAAAATAGCCTCTTATCCACTAGGCCTAGAGAGAAAGTGTCCTGCTAGTACCCTGGGCATCCTTGGCCCTGGGGACATCAACATCCTCTACTGGTTCCCATAGCCTCTCCTACATTTCTCTGAAGAGTTCCTATTGGTTTTTACCCTCTCAAACACACTATTTTCTAGCAATTTCTTTCAGTACAATTTATTTTAATATGGCAGTTCCTTTTTGCCTAATTTCGTTGCACTTTACCATTCTTTAAACTTACATGCTTAATTAAATAATTATCTTTGTAATTAAAACTACATCACTAGATATAACTGTTCCAACAGAAAATCCACAACAGAAAAAAATTAGAAAATTTTCCTAGCACAAATGAAGTTTTTTAATGACTCAAAATATAAACTAGTTAAATGTTTTAAAAAGTGGGAGGCAAAAAAACCCAAACAAACCAAAAACTACCCCACATCTATATACAGATGAGTAAAGGACTGAATAATTGTCCATACATTTAAAAAAATTAGTTGATACTTAATACAAATAGCTTCATTTTATCATCGGTGGACCAGGTTTTATGAAGCCCTTATAAAGATTTGTAATTGGGAGTAGGGGAAAGAAAGAAGTCTGATACTAGACTGCGCCTCTCAAATCAGCACAGGCCAGGCAGTGTGCTGAGCAGGTGGGGGCCTGAAGCCTTTGGCTTCATTGTCTTCGGCCAAATTCACCTTTGGCTGCAAGCAAAGTACCTTTTTAGAATTGCTTCATAACTAAATTATAGGCGAAATATTCAATATTAATATTTACTGTGAATAAAAATGTACTCTAATGTCTTAATGAAATTTGAGTTCTTATTTGCTATCAAATTTCAGTAATTTTAGTAATTCCAGTGATATATTTGCCATTTCATACAGCAGCAATTACACAGTATACCTTTTCTCTAAGAGTATAGCTTAGTGAAGGAAGGCTGTGATTAGCTGTTAGTGCCTATGTCTTATTCTGACAAGACTGGTAGATTTTTAATTTTTTAATTAGTTAAGAAGTGGCTGTGCTACATGAGAATATAATGAAAACAGCTGTAACTACATTAGATCAAGAATAAAATGCAATTCCTACTAAGAGATTCAAGAAATGGTCAATAAATTTAGTTAAAAATAAAACTCAGTTGACCAAAGGGAGTTAAATTCATTACCATTTTTACAATTATTCACTCAAAAGTTGTCTTTCCTCTTTGCAGAAAACAAAGTTGAGATCTATATAATTATTGTTTTACTTACTGAGAAATAATTATTTTAAAATAAGTATCTTTGTCAAATATAAATATTGTTAAACAAGGAACTGTACACCCTTACTTTTACTTTAACTTCAGGTAGTCTTAGCTAACATCAGTCTTACTTACTGCTCTCCCTCCTTCCCACAAGAGGGAATAAAGAGAGGAGAAATCTTGGCATCAAACAAAATATTCAGAATATGCTGAAACATAAACCGAGAGAAGGCGTCATCTTTCTGAGCCATGCTGCACTGGGCTATGCTGCGTGCTGCTGGGTCTGAGTGGGCTGTGAGACCTGGGCACTCATGAGCACGTGCAGAATCCTGCCCCTTCTCCAGGAAGGGCGCGAGACCAGCTTCACCACTGGCTGGCCTGTCCTATGGAGCCAGATTAGATTTTATAGCAGGTGAGTGTAAAAGCAGCACGGGCGGTCAGACGTCCATGAGTCTGACTGAGAGAGAATCAACATGAGAGGAAGAATGTTCTCTGGGATTCTGACATCCTCAAAAACTGGAATATGAGTCTTTCTACTTCCTTCTCTTTGGAACAATGGTACGACAGAGCGCGAGGGGCAGTACACACAGGCCCCATCTCTTCAGGCCATGCCTGTGTTTCTATGGTAATCTGTACAGCATTTATAAAAATGATTTGTAAATGTAAATGTTACTCTGTGAAACAGAGTAGTTGATAATAAAATATCCTTAAAAAGTTATTTAACTGTGGGTGAAAGCCTTTTTAAAAAATCTTTTGTGCCAGCCAAGTCTCACCCCCCTCCCCAAAGATATGAATTAAATCAAAAGAAGGGCAAACCATGCAAAATTTTTCTATGCTTTTAATGTAGTGGAGTTCTGATGCTAAGATGGAGTAGCATAAGGTGACAACCAAAAGAGCAGCTCTTGCAGTCTAATGTCTTAAAATCCACACCCTTTCACCTTGCGTGTGTGGAAGAAAGAGCAGAAGATAAAATCACTTCCACCTGGACCACTGCTTTTCTTTATCTGTTAAAGGCACGTATATCACTCCCATCAGAGGTTTCATTTTGACACTGCCATCTTGCAGCTTATCGTACTGCTCCAACATTTGGTTTCCACCAGCAGGGCCGACTGGCAATATCAATCTTCCACCAGGCTTTAACTGGTCTATTAACTGTAAGAACGTGAACAAAACATATATACCAAGTTAGGCATTTTATATTATTAAGAGTTATTTTATATTACTATAAAAACCTTTTAGGGCCCTCCCTCGTGGCGCAGCAGGTTAAAGCACAGCACTAAGAAACCACTTCAGCATGAGTTTGATCCCCGTCCCAGAGGAGATTCACATGGCGTGGCAGACCTCTCCTGACCTGCCTGCTGCTCCCCTCAGCAGTGTACTTCATCAGTCGGCCTGTTCTGCTCCCCACTGTCTCTGGTGAACCCTCTTACTGCCCCTGGACCTCTGGCTTATACCCCAGTTCTGTAAGCATAAATAATCTTTAAAAAAAAAACAAACCTATTAGAGTCTCCCTGTTGGCACAAGGGGTTCAGTCTCAGCATTATGAAGCTGTCAGCAGCCACTGCAGCACAAGTTTGATCCTGGGCCAGTGAGTTACCCCACAGGGCACAACAGACCTCTCCACTCTCCCTACTGCTCCCCTCAGCAGTGTATTTTAGTAGATCTGCCTGTTCTGCTCCCTCACTGTGTCTCTGATGAATCCTCTCACACCCTGCATCTCTAGCCTACACCCCAGCTCTTGTATGTAGAAATAAAATGAATCTTTTTTTTTTAAGGTTTGTTTGTGCATACAGAACTGGGGTACAGGCCAGAGGCTCAGGGACGGCGAGAGGCCTCACCAGAGACAGAGTGGGGAGCAGAACAGGCAGATCGACGAAGTACACTGCTGAGGGAGCAGCGGGCGGGTCAGGAGAGGTCTGCCGCGCCATGTGGTCACCTCCGGGGCAGGCGGGAATCGAACTCATGCGGAAGCGGCTTTAGCTTCTCAGTGCTGTGCTTTAGCCTGCTGCGCCACCAGAGAGGGCCATAAAATGAATCTTAAGGAAAAAACTACTCTTAGCAACTTTCAAATATACAATATGGTATTGTTAACTAGTTACCATGCTGTGACTTTTTAAAATTTCAAATTATATGTTAGATGAGGAGTAAACTTTTACATACATACTTTGCTCCTTTCACACAATAAATTTTTATTAAAACCACTTTAAGTCATGACTTTGCAAATCTAATTTGCTATTTAGTTAAGATTATTTAAAATAATTATTTCCTTTTTAATACAATAGCTTTATTTCCCCCTGCAGTTAAAAAATGAAATCTTTTCTTTTTTCATTCACTAACATTTTTTTGTAACTGTTTCTAAGTCTTTGCATTTTCCAACAAACTTCTCAAAAAAAAAAAAAAGTCGAAGTCATACTTATTTAATTAGTGCTTTTTTCGGGGTGAGGGTGGGGAGACTGAAAGGAAAGGCTAGAGTCCTTGTAGTGCCTTAGAGCCCCTCTAATGCCTTCCTCCAACCTGTTTCAAATCGACTGGGCCTTCTCCAGCTCTCACCTGGAACATCTAACTAACACTAGAAACATTTGTCACCTTTCTCTCAAATAAGATGTCTGGCTTTCTTGGATCTCATGGCTTCCTCTTTTTGAGTTTTTCTACTGTCTCTCTCCTTCCTGATTTTTAAAAAAAGATTTATTTATGAATGCAAGGATGCAATGCATCTCGGGTACAGGCCAGAGATGCAGAGGGTGAGAGGATTCACCAGGACAGAACAGGCGGATCTACTTAAATACACTGCTGAGGGGAGCAGCAGGCAAAACAGGAGAGGTCTGCTGTGCCACGTGGGTCCCTGGCTGGGGAGCAAACTCGTTCTGCAGTGGTGCCGACAGCTTCATAGTGCTGCGATTTAACTCCTTGTGCCGACAGCTTCATAGTGCTGCGATTTAACTCCTTGTGCCAAGGAGGCCCCGCCTTCCTCATTTTGGGGATAATATTAAATTAATTCTTCCAGAAGCATTCTGTGAAACACTGCATGGAACATTTAAAGAGAGAATATGAGACTTGCAATTCTAAAACTATATTTACTTATTTGGCAATATGTTTGGATACAGAATTTGAGGGTGAAAATCATTTTCAGTTCAGCATTGTTTGTTTCACTGACCTGTAGATAGATGTCTTTGCAATTACCAGTCCTTAACAAATGACATGTTTTGTTTATTCTGGAAGCTTTTAGAATATTTTCTTTATCCATAGCATCCTAGAATTTCATGGTGATACTGACATTCTTTTCTTTACCAAAAACATTCATGACACCGAGTACTCAGTAGATCTTAAGCTACATAATCATAGTCAAGGAAATTTTCTTATATAAGGGTTAGGCTAATTGTTCCTAATTTAGAATTTCAAATAAGAGCCCTCTTTTCAGATCCATTCAGTTTCTTCTCCTTCCCAAGATACTCATGCCTCCACTTCCTCATCCTCAGAATACTGCACAGCAAACTGCTTCTGCGCTGATTCGCCCTCTGCAGTCTCTTTAGCTCTGCTTCCTCAAACTCCTGAAGCAGTATTCCTCCATCTGCTTGTATCTCACACACTGCAGAGCTCAGGGTTACAAATATAATCTAGATAAAACTGATTATGGCAGGTGTATTTCTGTTTTTGTTTTCAGGGTGATACCCAAGAGGAAGCATAAACATCTTTAACTGTTATTTTAACACTGGAAAGTCCCCTAAGCCCATCTACCTTTAATCAAGTATCTAACCCCCCTTAATACCTCCAAGTACTGCTATGTTTAAATTCAGATTAAGCTAAAGCCAGAAATGCTCTTCAAGATCATCACAGTTTAGCTTAATTGAATGTTCCCAGGAGATTTTAATTGCTCCTACCAAGTTGCCAATATTTAAAAAAAAAAGTTAAAAGTACTGATGCTGTGTTCATATGTGAAAGTTCACAGAACTATTCATTTATAACTTGTACACTTTATATACATAACATAGACTACTGAAATACCCTCTCATTGCAACAACGTAAATCTTACTAATCTTTAAAATACAGTTCTAATTCCATTCCTATATGGAATCTCCTTGACTACTCTGTGCAAATTTATCTCCCTCCTCCTTTGAATTCTTACAGTATATACTTCATATATATGTACACATACATACATATATAGACACACATATATTGTGTGTGTGTGTGCAGAAGAACTAGGGTGTAGGCCAGAGGTACAGAGGATGAGAGGAATCACAAGAGACAGACTGGAGAGCAGAACAAGCAGATTTAATGAAATATTCTGCTGAGGGGAGCAGCAGGCCAGATGGGAGAGGTCTGCTGTACCATATGTGGGTCAGCTCCCTGGGCGAGGACTGAACTCAGGCCATGGCAGTGATAGTGTTGAGACTTAACCCCTAGGCCACCAGGGAGGTTAAGCTTATAGCATATAGTCAATATATACTATAAACTAATGCTAGTATATCATTAATTTGCCTGTTATATTCTCATAGAATATAAGCTCTGTGAGGGTGAAATGTACCACAAGTATTTCCTGGTCTTTTCTCATGAACCTAACAGAGTCTTACAAATTTTGATATTTAATATACAGCAATT